TGGTGTGATTTAAAACACAAATCTCTGGGAGCACAGACAACAAACATTCCCCATAAAAACCACAGTTCACAGTGTCTCACCATGCACTTAGCTTACTAGCTGGTCTATGGAGGCGTATTTTGCCTTCACCTGATTTGTTATCCTATCCAGTTTCCTGCTGGCTGGACTGAAACGCCAACCGTCCATTGGATTACTGGGTAGTGCAGGGTACACCACTTGAAGGTGAGGTAGGCTTGAACAAGAGAAGCTAAGAGACCTTTAGAGTCTTTTATTGCTCCATTAGGGTCCAAATTGTACATTTGCTAGTTTGCCATTGCCACTGAACAGCCGGCCCTCGATACACTGTTGAAATTCTAACAAAGCTTTCAGCTGACAAATCATCAGTAGCTTTAATCAGACTGGATATTTTAATGTTAATAGATGCTTAAGCCTCTGTAGATGAAGGAATAGAAAAGAATACAAAAGGCCAACAACATAAAACTAGCAAGTAATGCCTCTTTTGAGGCATCCAAATATCAGAATGCACTAAAAAAAAGTGGCTAATAAATGTGAGATTTGTACCAGCTTTGTGCTATCAATGCCAGACATGGACAGTCCTAGAAAAACCTAAATGCAAAATTTCCACATGTGAGATAAGATGTATAAGAAATGCAGCGGGGGGAAAGGGGGGGGGGGGGGTGGAGAAACAGGAAGAGACAGGGTCACAAATGAAGACCTAAGAACAATAGTAGGCACAGTACTGGTGAATGATTTCATAGAACATCAAAGAATTAAATGGTTTTGTCAGGTGGTCAGAATGGACCAGCTAGAGCATACTGCCTGAGAATAGCAGGTTACAAGGCAAGAGGCTGACCAAGAAAGAGATGGATGCAGGGAGTTAAAAAAAAAGACGCTACAGAAACATAAAAGTGAAAGTAAAGATAAAGGGACCCTCTTCCACGCCTTTAGGCATAAAGGGCATATAGGGCTAGACCTAAATTTTTATAGACCAATCGGCACAAGATGGGTGATGTGGTCAGCATCATGCCGGCCGCCTTTATTTCCCGGGACTGCACCTGGTACCCGCTCAAGGCTGGTTCGACCTGGGAGCCAAGGTCATTTTTGAAAAAAGTCCGGCTCCGCCATGGAACAAACCCACGACCTTCTGATCTGCGGCGCCTGGCCGCTCTGCCACGCCCACTCCCCTACAGAAACATAATATGACAAAAATGCAAGCTACACAGCAAGAAAAAGACAGGAAACTACATAAAACGCCTTTCTGCAACGCTTTAGTGCATAAATGTTAGGGTAGAAGAAGACGAAGAAGAAACCTCTGTAGATTAGGATTGAAGTTCTTGCATGGGTTAATGCATTTGTGTTAAAATTGTCAACAGACTCACAAAAAGTATATATTTATCAGCACTTAGAGGTTGATGTGGCAACACCACACTGACCGCCTTTACTTCCCAGGACTATACCCGATACCAACTCAAGGTTGGATTTGACCTGGGAGCCAAGGTGATTTTCGAAATAGTCTGGTTCTGTTTGGACCGAAACTCAGGACCTTCCAATCTGCAGGCTAGCGCCTAGCTGCTACAACATGGCGGCTCCCTCACAATAAATAAGTAAAGTAAACTACCCCTTTATGCTATTGGTGAATCGGACATATGGTCTTTCTATCTTCTTTTACCCCACCAGGACATCACACAAGTGATAAACACCCGATGACACAAAGTGCCACTGTGTGGATGACTTTCACCCATGGAGATGTCCCAGAAACCGCGTTCAGCCATTAGACCATATTTATGGCTGGGCTATATACGGCCCCTGGCAAGAGCCAGAGTAGGGCTTCAAATAACGAAAAATTGCATCCCACAAAGGGATGACAAGATGACAGGACATATGGTGCTTGACTCACACTCTTATAGACCAGTCAGCACTTGGGGGGGGGGGGGGGGGGGGGGGGGGGAGAGAATTACAGGTCAAGGTGACAGCCATGGAGAGGGAATTCTTCTTCTTCATTCGCCTGAATTAAGTTGTCTATATCAGCAGTTTTGTCTCTTGTATAGATTTCACTGTCGTTGTTTATTCAGTGGTCCATAGAGTTTACGTTCTACTGTTGTTCTTTCTGGCCAAAAGTTTTGCCTTAATGTGTCAAATCCTGGAGTACATGCTCTGCTGTCTGGAGCACCTTTCCACATGTGCACATGGCTGATACACCTATCTTGAATTGTGTGTACATGTGGGAGAGGGCATGAGGTGAGCTGTATGCAATGGCAAAGGACAGAATGACCTAATGAAAGTTGGTTAAGGGTCTTTGCTGATTGATTGGCACCTTTCCATCTTTCCAGATGATAGTGTTATATTGCACTATGAGAGAGGCATGGGACTCACAGCCCATGTCGATGGCGAGTGTGACTAGCAAGACCCGCCGGTGTCAAGATAAGTCTTCCACAATGATAGCATGGTATTTCGGGACCACTGATGTCAACATTTGTGTTTAATCCGTTTCTTTTCAGACGCTCAGCTCTCATCCTTTCTGCAATCATTTCTTCCTTCACTCTCATTCCCTTCCTGATGTGCCCTTTTCACACAACACGGTCCATGGTATTTTGTTCTCATGAGTCCATTTCACAATAATGGTCTTTGCTCCACTGGGGGGAATAAAGGGCATGAGAGGAATTTTCTGTAGGTTCTACAGCAGCGCACATGGTCAGTGTCTGTAGGTTATTGTATTACCACAATCAACATTGCTGCCCATTTGGTATTCCCATGCGTGCTCAGTCCACAGATGCAGCTCCAAGGTACCGCTGCTTGTTGTGAAGCTGGTTATAGTGTCTCCTGTCTTGACCTTGAAGAAAGCATTGACGTGCTTCACCAAGCTTTACTTCCAGGTCATGCAATAGTGTTAGAGTCAGCAATTTATCATTATCCTCCGACCTAGTCCATACAGAGATGGTATCAGCTCTGTCCATGCTTTTGATGGTATCAGCTCTGTCCATGCTTTTGATGATATCAGCTTGTCCATGCTTTTGATGATATCTACTCTGTCCATGCTTTTGATTATATCAGCTCTGTCCATGCTTTTGATGATGTCAGCTCTGTCCATGCTTTTGATGGTATCAGCTCTGTCCATGCTTTTGATGATATCAGCTCTGTCCATGCTTTTGATGGTATCAGCTCTGTCCATGCTTTTGATGATATCAGCTCTGTCCATGCTTTTGATGGTATCAGCTCTGTCCATGCTTTTGATGATATCAGCTCTGTCCATGCTTTTGATGATATCAGCTCTGTCCATACTTTTGGTGATATCAGCTCTGTCCGTGCTTTTGATGATATCAGCTCTGTCCATGCTTTTGATGATGTCAGCTCTGTCCATGCTTTTGATGATTGCTGCTCTGTCTGTGCTTTTGATGAGTGCTGCTCTGTCCATGCTTTTGATGAGTGCGCCCTGTCCGTGCCTCTGATGATATCAGCTCTGTCCATGCTTTTGATGAGTGCTGCTCTGTCCATGCCTTTGATGATATCAGCTCTGACCATGCTTTTGATGACATCAGCTCTGTCCATGCTTTTGATGATTGCAGCTTTGTCCATGCTTCTTTACATTTGCATTAGTGAATTACTTGCTGGCTGGTCGGCTCTTTCATTTCCTCTTACTCCTGCATTCCTAGGTGCGTAGTTCCAGACGATAAAGCTTAACTGTGACTTCAGAGTGCTTTCTACCCATTCAGAGCGTAAACTATATGTATGGCAGTTTGTACTGCTACACCTGCAAATGCTCTGGAAGCAGTGGTTATCTTTATGGTCATGCTTCACATAGTTTTATTGATCAATAGGTGTCCTTATCTCGGTGTCTACACTTGCAGATATCCATATCTGATAGTAGAACAATGTGTGTTGTAGAACAACCATAAAACATTAATTGAGGTTGCCTGTTTGACTAATTTCAGATATGAGCGGCATTTCACCCCCAACGTCTCATTAGCCCCATCATCAAGTCACAGAACCACATCAGATGAGGAAGATGAAGTCCGTGACAAGGAAGTGCCGTCCAAACCCAGAGCCAACGGAGGACATCGTTTTTTGTCAGATCTGGCTGTTAGCAAGTTGACTCTGCGGGGTTGTAAACCAGATGCCCCGATTAAAGATAGCCATGATTATGATCTGCCTACAGACACGGATGATTCCAGCATGGCTTCGCCCGCAGATAGTAAGAGTATCTGTACGTTTTAACTTTGGGATATGTTTGTTGGACTTCAGAAATGTTTGTTTGGCTCCAGAGTATTTCTGTTGTTTTCATTTTGGGATACATGTCTGTTTAACTTTGGGATATGTTTGTTGGACTTCAGGAAATGTTTTTTTGGCTTCAGGGTATTTATGTTGTTTTAATTTTGGGATACATGTCTGTTTTACTTTGGGATATGTTTGTTTGTTCTTCGGGAAATGTTTGTTTTGTCTCATTTTTTGTTTGGTTCAGAGTATTTCTGTTGTTTTCATTTTGGGATACATGTCTGTTTAACTTTGGAATATGTTTGTTTGACCTTGGTTGACTTTTGGATTTGTTTCACTTCAGGAACTGTTTTTATGGTTGGATTGTGTGTGTGTGTGTGTGACTTTGGGAAGCCTGCGTGTTTAACTTTGAGTTATACTTGGAGCCTCCTTCCCTGGCAGGGACTTTCCACCTTCTGCCCAAATTCTATCCATGTTCTGCCCATGTTCTGCCCCTGCCTTCTTTTGAAGGCCGATCAGTCAGTGCCATGGCTGCCCTGAATGTGTTCTCTAGGACAACACCTGTAGATAAAGGGGAGCTGCCACGATTTAACAGGCATGGGGTCAAATCCAAACAGAAGGACTTGAAAAAAAAAATCACCTTGACTCTCAGGTTGAGCTAGTCTTAGAATGGGTGTCCTTTACTTTATGTTTATTTAAATTTAGGATATTTTTATTTGGCTTCTGGATATGTGGAAGCTGACATGGTCTTGACAGTGTCCAGATCCCCCCCCCCCCCCCCCCTACCCCTCCCCACCCAATTGTCCATTTATGGAGTTAAAATACTAGACCCACTGTCTTTTTCAAACAAGCATGCTGTAGAAAGCGACTGATTAGAAGTTTTTTTTTTTTTTTTTATCGATCACCGGCTGTGAATTCCAGTGGAAGGTCCCGGTTAATCGTCCGCTTGGACTTTTGGCTTTCACCTGGACCTGATTTTTGCATGTACAACCGTTTTTCATTTCCCTGCCTCTGGGCAGCTGTACTCCGACTTTGAAGGAAGACGTCAGGCCTATTTCTAGGTTGACTGTGGCCATTGTTTTGTGTGGGTCGAGACGTTGCCTGATTTGTGTGGTGTCCACTTTGTCTCCTCCGCAGGTATTGCCCTCGGAGTACCCCTTTGGGGCAGCCCCCTGTGGAACAGTTAGCCCTCAAGGAAAGGCAGGGGCAGATCATGGGCATTTCCCGCCATCCAAGGAGGCTTCCATGCATGCAGAGCCGGCACATGGTGCTCTGGTTCTGGGCTCACCCAAGGAATCGTCACTTCCTGCACATGCCTGCTTAACCTCACAACCGTATCAGGCCTCCCGCTCGACAGGGGCTGCGCCCTCTGGAAGTCAGCGGGGAGCAGCCCGTGGGTTTTGGACTTTTGTGACCACACAGATAGGTACATTCTTTTTTCTTCGCACGTTAGATTTCTTTGACGAGCCGTTAGCCCGACAGAATTTTACATCCTGCATCAGGCATATCGTTTTCAGTTTTGTCCCAACACTCGGGCGAGTGGGGTCTTTGGGTGTGGACATTCGGTCTTTTTCAGTTCAATACAAATTTTGATGGTCAGATTTTGATCCGTATGATCTAGTTTTGTCGGACAATTAGGATGGTTGCTGTTGTGGTGTACCTCAGTGCGGTGCCGACGACACTGAGGGTTAACCGAGGATGTACATGAATGGCCAGCCTATGGATGGTTGCTGTTGTGGTGTACCTCAGCGCGGTGACGACGACACTGGGGGTTAACCGAGGATGTACAAGGATGGCCAGCCTATGGATGGTTGCTGTTGTGGTGTACCTCAGCGCGGTGACGACGACACTGAGGGTTAACAGAGGATGTGCAGTGAACAATGTTCTCTTTACTCCGCAGTCTTTTAACCAAGGGTTGTAATTTTGGCTGTACGTTTGGCAAACCTACTCATGTTCCTAATGAGTTTTGATAACATTTTTCACCCAAGCGTTTGGGGGCGGGCTGATGAGAGCCACAAGGACACATCACCTCTGGGGGCCGCCGAACTCCGAGATCCCCTGACAGCTCTGTTAATGCTCATTTGAGACATTATCCGTGGCGCACGACGAGGACGTGCTGTAGGGGTCTTGCGTGAGGTTTCGTACAACCAGGATAGTTAAGGACTGGCGCCCGAGTGACGTACGGAGTATCTCCTTATACACATCATGTTGGACTTAACTTCCCGTCACGCCTGTGACATAAATCACCGCGCCACTGATTAGAAGTATTTCCTTCAAGGTCGCAGTGCACCTACCTGAGAGATAAGGAACCAACAGTCTGCATACAGATAAGCCACACCTGTAAAATAGAAAAGCTAAATTTAAGTTCTGGATCAAAACAAAACTACATGAGCGGACGAGCAACCTGAAATTTTCCGCCTGTTGCTGTCGGGGAACACTAAGAAGAAGAAAAAGAAACCATTTCATTAACTTCTGAGTCCATAGGTCGCACATCTCTAGGTCTTAGTCTGACTATAGAGAGTTAGTTCACTTACGTTTAATAAACATAATGTCTAAGAAAGAGACAATCTACATTCTTTGGTCATGTGATGGGAAGGAGAAAACTGGAGTACATTGTGACTTTAAGAAATTTGGAGGGGAGGGGAGGAGAGGCAGAGGGAGACCGAGAGAAAAGATGTTGGAGAGTTTGACATCATGGCATGGAAGATCATCTATGTTAGAGTTGATTGAAAGTACACGAGACAGAAGGTTGTGGATAGATATGACTACCAATGCCACACTGCATGGAATTTAAAAAGTAGAAGATGTTGAATATCCAAAGAATGTTTAGTTTTGTGTAATTCCACTTTTCTTATCTGTAATGAGTGGTTTTTGTTTGTAGCCTGTTTGCTACTTGTCCATAATTCACAGCCATAAACAGGCAGACAGATTGGCTGGATCTGCACCACTGGGTGGTGAATTGATGCATGACAAGGCAGATGTGTCAAGGCCCTTTGGGAACAAGCAATGGAATTAGTAGAGAAACAAGATTGTTATGGCCTAGAGAGAATGAGGCACCTGGGTGTAACCAGAGGGTCTGGCTGGCTCAATACACCCAGAGGAAAAGCAAGACAGACATATAACCAGATTGTGACCATTAGTATTGGAACTCTTCGCTGGCTGCTGAAGATATAGATGGAAAAAACATGCCCCGAGTGCTGTGATGTCAATTCTTGACTCAACTCAACTCACAGCCATAGGTTACAGTGGTTATGTTTATTTATAGGCTGCAAAGAAATGTGTGTTTCGGATATCCCTGTCTATAAGAGCACCCTGCAGCAGGAGATGGACATGATCCGCTCCTTGTTGGACGGGAAGATTGATCCCACACCTGAGGCTCGCTGCCACTTCCTCCAGCAGTACTGCAGGCTGAGGGCCAGAACTGAGGAGGCCATACAGTGGCTGTTACGTACTCACAGGGACATGAAAAGGGTAAATCATTCTTCACTTTTTTTTTTTTACATGAAAAGGGTTAATCATTCCTCACTTTTTTAACGTGAGAAGGGTCAATCAATCTTCAGTTTTTTAACATATAAAGGGTAAATCATTCTTAACTTTTTCTAACATGAAAAGGGTAAATCATTCTTCACATTTTTTTAAACATGAAAAGGGTAAATCATTCTTCACTTTTTTTAAAACATGAAAAGGGTAAATCATTCTTCACTTTTTTAACATGAAAAGTTTAAATCATTCTTCACTTTCTTTTAACATGAAAAAGGTAAATCATTCTTCACTTTTTTTAACATGAAAAAGGTAAATCATTCTTCACTTTTTTAAACATGAAAAGGGTAAATCATTTTTACTTTTTTTTTTCAACATAAAAAGGGTAAATCATTCTTCTTTTTTTTTTAAACATCCCAAACAATGTGGGCAGTGTGGCATCTCCTTTCCACGAATTTCTTCTTTTTAAAGTCCATTCCATGTGGCGTTTGTAGCAGTGTCTATCCACAACCTTCTATCTCATGTATTTTGGGTCAATTCTGACACAGATGATCCTCCATGCCATTATGTCAAACTGTCCAGCATCTTTTCTCTCAGTCTACCTCTCCTCCCCTCCAACTGTCATGATGTACTCCAGTTTTCTCCTTTTCATCACATGAATTTACTATAAAGTAATGTGTTAGTTTACTCTTTATACTCGGTCAGAACATGCTAAAAAATCTGGTGTCTTGCACTGTATCTTTAACATCTTTGAATATCTTATGAAAGTGTCCAGCACCTTCTTATTAACGTAGAACAGTGTTCTTCAACCCATGTGCCATGGCCCACCTAGTGGTCTACAGTGTTTTTCAACCCATGGTCAATGTGGCCCACCTGGTGGACCACCAGAAATGTCTGCGTAACGGGGTTAGGGTGAATAGTTTTTTTCCTTTTCCAGGATTGCAGTCTGTAGAATCAACACATTAAAGATAATAGCTTCAGTGAAGATCCCCAAGGATCTCCATACAAATTTTACTGATGGTCTGAACACTGCCGTGAAATGAACCCATAACCTTTAGAGCACGAGGCAGACAGTTTGACCAATCCACCATGGAGACCCCTCCTGCCTTCCAAGATAGGAAAGGAATCTTCTAGAATAATTATGCAGGCGTGTTTGGGAATGAGCGAGTGGATTGGTTGACTGGACAAGCTTTACTTGGGTGTGTACTGGAATTGTGCAGGGCAGAGGTGATCTCTGGCCTGCAGGACAAAGTAACGAGTAAAATGGAAGATGTTAAAAACCCGCATCTGGAGAGAACGATTCAGCGAGGAGAGTTTGCAGGCTCTGGGCGCCACTCAAGACTCAGGGGAAAGGCAAGATGAGTAGTTAACCAGATTACAGTGGGTACCATCAGCGTGGAAGTAGCTTTAGAAAAGAGCTGCCAACAGTGAACATCACAGAACGGACAGCTGTGGGAAACAAGTAACAAGTTTCTCCCATCTGGGACACATAGTAACAGACAATGGTAAAAGCGAAACAGAAATATGTGTGTGTGTGCATGCGTGCCCGTGTGCACAGGTGGGTGCGTGCGTGGGTGGGTGGGCGCGCACGTGCGCCTTTTGGTCTGCTTCTACCCCCTTTTCCGCTGATCTTTCCAGTTGTCATGATGTTCTCTAATGTCTCTTTTCTCATTATATAGACACAGAGCAGTATTTGTCTCGTTCTTATTGTTGTATATCATTAACTTCTTTCAAGCAGTCGTATTTTGTTCTTACATGTAGCAAAACACACTGCTTTATTTCAGGAACTTGAGAGCAGTCAAAGAAAGAATATAGAACTGGTGAAGTTACTGTCCAAGATAAAGAGTGAGTTTAAAAGCTTGACCATGGAGAAGGAGTATGCCTTGAAGGAAGCCAGGGCACTTAGTGATCCCGCATACTATCACAAGGTAAGTGATAGGGATGTGAAGTGGGAGAGAAAAACCTGATAGTTCAGAAAATGTTATGTTCAAATCAAGTAGTGGTCTTTCTCTCCTCCTTCTTCTTCTCATCTTCCTTCTTATTGTCATACTTCTTCTTCTGCTGCTGCTGTTCTTCTTATTCATCCTCTTACTTCTCCTTTTTCTTCTTCTTCTTCTTTGTCTTGTTCTCCTCCTATTCCTGTAATTGATGCTGTTTCTCTTTTTTTTGCTTGGCTCATCTTCTGACTGCTGAAGGAAGACGATTTGATTATGATGAGATTTATTATCACTGATGGACGGGGGAGGGGGGGGGGGGAGGCTGACTCATTTCTTTAATTATATTATATTATGTGACTGTTGGTTTCTTGCCACTCAGACAGATGCTGCACTCTGACCTTGAAGGAACCTCTCAAATAGTTGACTCTTATGACATGTATTTGTGTAGGCAGGTGGTCTAGTATTTTTTTCTCCACAATGGATCAGGCCCCCCCTCACTCCCTCAACATTCAACCAGATACAGATTAAAACTCGTGACCTTTGGGACATCATCACCAGATGATGATGTTAACTTGTGTTATAGGGCGGCGTGTGAATCGCAGCCTATAGTAACACCAGTTTAAGCCAGGTGTAAACTCTTCCTTCACAGTACAAAGCCTGGGCAGTATCGCAGAGCCTATGTTTTGTCTATACAGTGTGATTCTTCTTTCTTTATGCCTTGTTAGCTCCGAAGGAAAGCTAACACAAATACATTTTGAACAAAACATGCTGCAGAAGCACCTGCTAGTTACTGAAAGAATTCCTTCGTGAGCTTTGAACCTGTGGGAATTCCCAGAAAAATTACTTTTTGTTTTGTTTTTCCCACTCAGGTCACTAATAAATGTTTTAACATTTATTTATCTTAAAACTCTCTCTCTCTCTCTCTCTCTCTCTCTCTCTCTCTCTCTCTCTCTCTCTCTCTCTCTCTCTCTTCTCTCTCTCTCTCTTCTCTCTCTCTCTCTCTCTCTCTCTCTCTCTCTCTCTCTCTCTCTCTCTCTCTCTCTCTCTCTCTCTCTCTCTATATATATATATATATATATATATATATATATATATATATATATATATATATATATATATATATATATATATATATATATATATATATATATATATATATATATATATATATAATTCTTTTTCGCCTTCACCAGCTGTACACTCTGGCGGAAAGTTCTGGTTGCTCGTCCACTAGTGAACTAAAGTCCTGCTCCAAAACCTGAGTGTTGCGTGTGCATCAGTTTTACAGATCTCATACTCTTGAATACAGACTGTTGGTTCCTTGCCTCTCCGGCAGATGCACTCTGACTTCAAAGGAAGCTCCCCAATTAGTCGACTCTTACGACATGCTTTTGGGGAGGCAGTGAGTCTATTCTTGTTTTCCCCATAATGGGACCCCGGAACCCACACGGGGGTATATATATTGTAAAGTAAAGGACACTTTCAAACATGAAGAGTGAGGCATTGAATAAAATTCAACCCCAAAACCTAATATGTATAGGGTGACTCTGCCTTGACTTGGTGACCTCAATCACTGAGGTTTATGGGAAAACATGGCTAAAAAAACCATTGGATTTTTAAGGCTGCCTTCCCCTTTTCTTCCGAACTATTTTTACTTTCTGTATTAATATTATGGCCTATTAAACACTGCGCACATAGAATCAATGGAATTTAACTGAGCCTTCCGAGCACAGGTCACTGCACACATGCCGATGTGTCTCTTTATAATCAGTACTTGCAGTTTATTAGTAATTTCCTAACTGTTCATAGGCTTAAAGTGCTGCAAGCAAAGTCATATCTTAGAGTAGCCACATACAAGAAGCAACTCTTGCATGAAGCCTAAGGTAAAGCTAAAGGGTCACAGCCTGAAAATAGGAAGGTCTTGGATTGGGCAAGCTAAAGTCACAATTAGACATGTGTGCAGTCTTGATAAATCTGGGCAAGGCGAAAAGTGGATCAGAGCATCTTAGTAGCAATCAGACTTGTGTGGGCTTCTAATCACACTGGGTTTTGAGTGCAAGGATATGCTAGCAACGCTGCAGAATCAGAAGTTCAGTAAATGAGACATGACAGTTCCCACCAAGGTGACAAGATTATCTATACAGATGGCTGTCTTGAGAGGCAGACAAAGTGCGCAGGGATTCCAAGCAACTGTTAGTTTACTTTGCTTAGGCAAATAAAGCCTGTCATATGATACCACATATGGTTTGAGAATGGAGGTGGAGGCAGTCACTGCAGCCTTCTGCTGGCTTGAGAGTCCGCTGGTCACATACTGTAGTTGTAATTGACACACAGAGAATGTTAAGAAAGTTGGAAACAGGTCTGCTGCTTGCAGAATGGAAAGCATTGCTTCCGAGTTCCTAGGTAGTTGATGTCCTTTGGATATTTTATCTGTGTCACGTGCCAGAGTTTTGGGAAATGAACCAGCTGATAGATTGGCTGGTACTGCACTACCTGGCGGTGATGATGCATGACAAGCTGGATGTTGTAAGGGTTCGTTCCTTGGGGAGTGGTGAAACAGTGAGGAGACACATAAAAGTCATCACGGCCTGAGGAGAATAATTGCTACAAGGAGTGACCAAGGGATCTGGTTGAGGCTCAACACTCAAGGGAATGGCTAGAAGATATATGGTCAGGATGTTACTGGTACGATCTATGCTTGCTGCTGAAGATGGGGATCAAGCGCTTATGGGAAAGTCCCAAGTGCTATAATATCAGTTCTGGATTCAACATTCTGTTTATTATGAAATTTGTCTGCATACATGCGTATGTGTGAAGATATTTTTAAAGAGTAATAATATTTTTTTTTAAGATGGTCACCACTGCGTTCAGTGCAAGTTCTTCAAACTGCTTGAATTCCTTTAAAAAAACAATTCTCTCAGTGACATGTGCAACCATCGGCTGTACCTCTTCATCAGACTAAAAAAGTCTCTCCTCCCAGTGACTCTGTGAGTTGTCCATACACGTGGAAATCACTTAGGGCTACTTTTGATGGCAGCGCAGTACATGAACAATCTGCATATTACCGCAGGCAGGATAGTTTTTCTGACTGACTCACTGTCAGCTATACAGGCCCTAGAGTCAAACCTACCGACAGCACACTACAAAGTCTAACACAGGAACTTGCTATGTTGTCAAATAAGGCAGAAATTCACTTGCAGTGGATTCCGTCTCACTGTGGCATCAAAGGCAATGAAAGCGCAGATGCTTTAGCCAAGGAAGGCAGTAACAAACCACAGACCTACCAGCCACTATCTTTTCTAGAAGTCAAAACTCTCATTAAGAGAAAATCAGAAACAGATTGGAAAACCAACACTGGTTATAACTACGGAAAAGATTTTCTGAAACACTTGAACAAAACAGACCAAGTCACAGTTTTTCGCTTACGCACTGGACACTGCAGACTCAATAAACACACATAAATTAGGTATGAGCCAAACAGCTCTCTGCCAGTGCCTTCGTGCTGAACAGACTCCAGAACATGTCTGCAAGACTGTCCTCTCCTTGCGGAGCTGCGGAGCGACATATGGCAACACCCAGTAGATCTGACAACTAAGCTTTGGGGAAACCTAAGAGACGTTGAAAAGACATCCCAGTTTATGACCCACAGTGGATTATGCGCATGACCAGGGATCACTGAAGACTTAGGGCTAGGTAGGTGATGTAGTACACACTGAAAATAGAGGTCCTCTACGGTTTCAACCTTTGCACGGCCAAAAGAAAACCTTCACTCAGAAGTCCAGGTCATTTTGATTTGATTGCGGGTCCCCCTCCCCCTCCCCCAAAGATATTTCTGAGAAAATCTATGTACGTATTCCTAGGAAAATTGTTTCCTCTTGTCATGTGACGCTATAAAATAATACTTTGTTCATCCTAAAATAGAGTCAGCATAACCTTCCATGCAGATGGCTGCAGGTTGAAACTTCTTTGGTTTCGGTGAGGAGTAATGGTGCTGTTCCTGGCTCTTTTCTTCGTTTCTGGCTCTGACAGGGAACACAGGTTTAATTGTCAGTAAAGTTCTTGATAGGAAACCATCACTTTCTGCTTCAGAATAGCATACAAGTTCTTGACAAGCATGAGTGTGCCTTTTCAGTTCTGGAGTAGGCTACTGTGGCCCGCACCTTGCATACACTTTTGCGGTACTTTAGCACATCATGGATGATGTGTCATGCTGAACCGTGGCTGTTGTCAAGAAGAGTGGTGGTGTCATTCACAGTCAGTCATTTCACATGCGGCTGGTCGCAGAAGTCGTCAATGTTGTTGCTAAGGCCGCCATGACTTCGATAGGCAGCACACACATCGAAAACACACTAAAAAAGCAGCGCATAATCGCAATACAGTCCTTGAACAAATACTTGCATTGTAAAACATTTCTGTGCTGCCTTTGAGTTTGGTCCAAGTGAAATACGCCAGGTAAAAAGCGATAGACTGATGGACATGGGGGTGCAGCCTGGAGCTGCAAGAAATGAACATTTCACTAAGAGGACAAGACGTCTCATTAACCAACACAGAACAGGGGTTATCAGTCGTTTTACACTTGTGGAGCTTTTGAGGAGGAGATCGGAACACCTATGGATCTGTCTGGAGTGCTGTGATGATAATCCTTTATAATCACTAATCACAGTCAGTCAACCAGTGGTACTTCTGCCTACGGTCATTAACAGTGTATGTGCCTGACCGGGTCGTGAGCAGTCTATCATAGAAGTGGTGCTTTTTGAGACTTCCTACTCCTCTCATACACTTGCCGGACTGACAAGCATGCATCACCATACTGGGCCTTTATTCGCTGAAGAATTCTATAGGTTTCACCCCTATACTGATCATCAAAATCACTGCTCCTCTTTGGTGCATGTCAAAAGTGGGGCAATCATTTTCAAACTTTCATCATAATGTCACCATATTTTTCTGCAGCGTAATGTCATATGCTTAACATTCTTGACATTATTAACAACAGTATTAGCTGTTTTCAAGACAGTGGCATGGTTTTTTTTTTTTTTGTTTATTAGTAATTCCTAAGAGGATATAATAAATGTTTGTAATTTCTTAGTAATTTTCCAACTTTTTTCTTCTACAGTTTAACCTGGGACTGGAAAGCCGATACAGAAGTATTGAATCCCTGTATCACAAAGTCTGCCAAGAAAACCACTCCCTGCAGCGTGAACTATCCATCCTGGCAGAAAAATCTGCGTCTGCCAAGTATGCGGATGGTGTCCATAAATCGCTGAAATCTCATCTGAAGATGGCCTTGGACTTGACTGTCCCGTCAGAAGCGGACGCCTCAAACAAGAAGCAAAGTTCACATATGAAAAAGGAAGCCAGCATTACAGTGGATTAACTCTTTCACTACCAAGGAACTCATCATGGTGTTAAGGGTTCTGCTTACAGTATAGATTCTTTTTCTTCCTTTCCAAGTTCTCATGCCTGCATCCAGTTGTCACCCTGACCGACACGTCTCCAGTGGTTATGTTAGACCTCTCCTCTTTCAGTTATTACTTTGACACTGACTGAAGCATTTATTAGTTGAGCACTTCTAGGATAAAAGTCTGGCTGCACCCCTAACCCTCCTCCTCCTCTCATCCGGGCTTTGGACAGACAATGGCGGAGATATCTCTTACTGTAAGTGAAAGTCAAGGACCCTTTTACACGCCATCAGGTGTACTGGGGATGTACTGCTAGATCTATATTTTATAGGCCAATCGGCACTCAATGGGAGATGTGGTCAGCATCATGCCTGCCACCTTTACTTCCTATGTCTTTACCTGGCACCCATTTAAGGCTGGGTCAACCTGGAAGCCAGGGTCATTTTTGGAAAAAAAAAAAGTTTCCCTCATTTTGAATTTCAACCCAAAAACTTCGGATTTGCAGGCGATCGTCTGGCCATTACACCTTTCTGTAATAGAATAGAATGTGAAAAGATAAGATACAATGTGTTAAATAATAACTGTCTTGATACTGAAAGAGTTAAGTAAAGATATAGGTACATGTAGTAGCAGTTTCTACAGTCTGTTCTAATGTAGTTCTGTAGCAGGAGCAAACTGCCTATTCTAATGTAGTTTTGTAACATGAGCAAACTGCCTGTTCTGTGTAGTTTTGTTACAGGAGCAACAGCCTATTCTAATGTAGTTTTGTAACAGGAGCATTAAACTGCCTGTTCTGTATAGTTTTGTTACATAAGTGAACTGCCTGTTCTAATATAGTAGCAAACTGCCTGTTCTGTGTAGTTTTGTTACAGGAGCAAACTGCCTGTTCTGTGTAGTTTTGTTACAGGAGCAAACTGCCTGTTCTGTGTAGTTTTTTTACAGGAGCAAACTGCCTGTTCTGTGTAGTTTTGTTACAGGAGCAAACTGCCTGTTCTGTGTAGTTTTGTTACAGGAGCAAGCAGCCTATTCTAATGTAGTTTTGTAACAGGAGCAAACTGCCTGTTCTGTGTAGTTTTGTTACAGGAGCAAACTGCATGTTCTGTGTAGTTTTGTTACAGGAGCAAACTGCCTGTTCTGTGTAGTTTTGTTACAGGAGCAAAATGTCTGTTCTGTGTAGTTTTGTTACAGGAGCAAACTGCCTGTTCTGTGTAGTTTTGTTACAGGAGCAAACTGCCTGTTCTAATATAGTTTTGTAACTGGAGCAAACTGCCTGTTCTGTGTAGTTCTGTAACAGGAGCAAACTGCCTGTTCATGTAGTTTTGTTACAGGAGCAAACTATCTGTTCTGTGTAGTTTTGTTACAGGAGCAAACTGCTTGTTTTGTGTAATTTTGTTACAGGAGCAAACTACCTGTTCTGTGTAGTTTTGTTACAGAAGCAAACTGCCTGTTCTAATATAGTTTTGTAACAGGAGCAGACTGCCTGTTTTAGTGTAATTTTTTAACATGAGCATTAAACTGCCTGTTCTGTGTAGTTTTGTTACAGAAGCGAACTGCCTGTTCTAATGTGGTTTTGTAACAGGACCAAACTGCCTGTTCTAATGTATTTTTATATTTAGAACTTGAACAGTCTGTTCTAATGTACTTTTGTAACAGGAGCTAGAACAGCCTGTTTGAATTAATTTGTTCCATTTTTTAACGGGAACTTGTTTATAATGGGAACTTGAACTGCCTTTTCTAATAAAGTTTTATAATGAAAACATTTACAGCACGTTCTAATATAACATACATAATAAAATGTATAAAGGATCTTCTGGGTCCATCTGCGAGCTATGATAGTTAAAAAAAAAAAAAAAGACTTGTTCATGAAATGTATACAGTCCATGTAATATTCTCGTTGATGATATTGTTGGTTGTAATGTCAACATTGTAGCAATTTGGGCATTTTTCATCATCATCATGTTGTGCCATTTTATGTCACATAGGGCTCTTAGTTTATTTTTCTATTCCATTTTTACTGTGCAGTTCTTTCATATCATGAGCATTAAACTCTTAAGCTCTCTTAAGGCAGACCTACTGCCTGCCCAAAAGCATGTAGTAAGAGTGGACTAATTGGGAGTACATCTGCCTGAGAGGCAAGGAACCAACAGTCTGCATGTAAATGAGTCAGACCTGTGAAACTGATATACACGCAACACTCAGGTTCTGGAACAGGGCTAGAGTTCAAAAGTGGATGAACAACTAGAACTTTCCACAGGAGCTTACAGCTTATGAACACGAAGAAAAAGAAGAAGTATTTTCATACTCATCATCATCATCATCATGTGCCCTGTCAACTGGCGTAGGCACTCATGCGTCTCCACAGATCACGATTCCTGGTTGCCTGGAACAGTTCTCTTGATAATATCAATCCATGCCATTATTTCAATAGAAACGCCATACTCATGATGTCTTTGTCAAATATGTAATAGTGTAGTGCCACGGTGGTCTGGAGAGTATGTTGATGGAGGGGGGCAGTTTCTGGAAGATGATGAAGAAGCTGCCCTCTGTGAACTTGGATGCAGGATGTTGAAGAGGCATTGGCTATGAAAGCACACAGGGCTGGAAAATTGGCTAGGTAAAGAGGGTAGCTTTCTGTAAAGGACATTTTGATTGATTGATGTCTTTGTCTGAAATGTCTGAGAAGGGCTGTAGGAGTGACCATAAGAGATAAGATCAGGAATGAGATCATAAGAGAAAGAGTCGGCACAGAACCAATTCTAAATTACATACGAAGACAGCAGGTGAAATGGTTTGCCCACTTAGAGAAAATGCCTTGTGACACCATACCATACAAAGCATACATGGAAAGAGAAGAAGGACGTAGAGCACGAGGTAGACCAAGAACAAGATGGAAGGATAACATCAGAGAAACTCTACAACAGCACGATGTGCCTATGGTCGAGGCGGCCAGAAGAGCTAGAGACAGAACCTTATATCTCCCTCGACACCCACAGCGGTAAAAGAGGAAGTGAAGAAGAAGAAGAAGAAGAAGTCTTTGTCCCGGATGGTCTGCCTCTGCCTCCACTACCTGGAAACATATTCTGTTACAGCTGTGTCTAAATCAGTGGGGTTTCCTTTTAGCTAAGACCTGCAGAATCTGCATACTTTCTTTTTCTCTAAATTTGCCATGGGCTGCATAGGTTTTAATCAAAAGTAAAGTAAAGGACCTTTTACTGGGACAGCTAGCCCCCCTCTTACAGCATAAGGTAGTCCCAGTCAGCACAAAGAGACATCTCATACAAAGCATATTCATTCCCACCCTCTGCTACCAGTGATTTAGTCGTGAAAAGGATTTATTCTTATATGAATTTGTCTCTTTGCCGGTTGCCTATTAGAGCATTGCACAAAGCACGAACACTATTGCTCCAGGAAGGACCAAACCCCCCCCCCCCCCCCCCCCCCCCCCCCCTCAGCTATCTCTGAAACATCTGTAGTTCCCTATAAGGATAATTTTCAGTGTTTGTTGTTCCCACAAGGATATCATTGGATATCTCTCGTTCCATGGAAATAATTGGATGCCTGTAGTGTTCACAAGGACATCATATCTGTAGTTCTGAAAGGATATTGTTAGATATCTAGATTTCCTACACATATATTATTGGATATCTGTATTTCCTGAATTAATATTGTTAGTTATACATAGTTCCCCCAAGGGTATCATATCTGTAGTTCTCACAGGGTATTGCTTGATATCTATAGTTCCCATAGGATATTGCCGGATATATGTAGCTCCTGTTTTATATTCTTTAACATATTTGGTTCCCACAAGGATATCATTGGATATCTTTTGATTTCCCACAAAACAATATTTTTAGGTGTCTGTATATCTCACAAGGGTTTTGTTGAATATTTGTTGTTCACAAAACAGTGTGGTTAAATATATGTGCTTTCCACAAAGGTATTATTGTAGTATAGTTGTTTCATTTTTCTGTTTTATTAGAATTGATGATTGCAGCACTTTACAAGCGTCTGCCCTTGATGTTGTTTGGGTAGAATTGGTTCTTGTTAAACTTGATGAGGGTCTGCCATTTATATTTTTGTTTAGGTAAAATTGATGATTGTACAGTTTGACAAGGGTCTTCCCTTGATTTTTTGATTTGGGTAGAATTGATGATTGTACAGTTTGACAAGGGTCTTCCCTTGATTTTTTGATTTGGGTAGAATTGATGATTGTACAGTTTGACAAGGGTCTTCCCTTGATTTTTTGATTTGGGTAGAATTGATGATTGTACAGTTTGACAAGGGTCTTCCCTTGATTTTTTGATTTGGGTAGAATTGATGATTGTACAATTTGACAAGGGTCTGCCCTTGATATTTCTGTTGTGGTGATGTTAAACCCGTGAGATAAATATTCGGTGATATTTGGTCTGATATTATTTTGTTTGATCATTTCCAACACATTTTTTGGGAGCGCTGTAAACTAGAATTGTTTATAATGAGCTGATGGTTCTGATTGCTTGTATATTAATTGTACTTTTTTATGTGATTGCTACGATCTGTTATTCTCTATTTATGTCTAAATAGATATGTACTGGCAAATGAAGAAAAAAAAACTAAGTTTATTTGTAAAAGTTAACTTTCTGTCGGTGTCTCTATGGATTTGTATTGATATATAACAGTAAAGTTTATAATTGTGTGTGTGATAGGAAAGGATTTTAGATTTTAAATTTTAATTGCCTGTGTAAATGTACAGGCATATTTTCTTCTTTTTTTTCATTTGTAAAGGCATATAAAAATATATGTTCAAATGATACAGTCTTAATTTTGTGTTAGTGTCTGTGAATTTGTATAAACATATATATATATGTAGTTGACAATTGTATGTGGATAGGTAATGATTTTTTTTCTATGTCTGTGTAAATTTGTACAGGCATATTTTCTTGTTTGTTTTCTGAATAGATATTTAGCAAATGTAGAATTTATATCTTTGTATCAA